GTTTCATTGGAGTTCTCTTATTTTTCTTTCTCAGTGGTACTGTGCTAGACTGCACTTTTATGATCTCTGTTTTCAGAGCTTCCCAAGCTTCTTGACTTGTTTTCTTCTTTAAGATTCCATCTATGTAATCCTTCCTAAATTCATCTCTAAACTTACGGATATCACCTCACTTAACGTCTTAAGGCACTCATTTGACTCTGTTCTATTACTTGTGCTTGCATTATGTTGAATTCCAGTATGACATAGTCACTCTCCCCCAAAGCTCCTACAACTTCAAATCCCTGTGTTTGGTTGGGTAGTCTGTAGTGTTCACCTATGATAATCTCATTTCTTTTTCCTATTAATGCAAATGCATTCAAGGTTTTCATTCTTGGTTTTTTACATTTCTATAGAGATATAGTTATTTCTTACATATTATGTGACTCTAACTTCTCTTTTGTTAGATCTATTTGTTTTGAACAATTTAAATCCTTCTAGCATTATTTTCCAGTCATTATTTTCCAGTCATGGGTTTCATTCCACCAAGTTTCATTAAAGGCAACAATGTTGTATCTGCCCTCATGTACTAAGACTTCAAGTTCATGCTGTTTGTTCCTTATATTTGTTAATGTATAGGCATCTGAGTCCAATATGACCAACCCTGTGTTTGCTTCCTATGTCCCCTGTTTTGTGTCTGAGTTTCCCTTCTTTTTCACCACTTGTTGATTGCCTTGAGGTATATGCTTGGGATTAGGTCCAAATTTTTTTAAAAAAAACCACACACACAAAAAAAACTGTTCAACTATTAGAAATATTCAAAATGACAAATTTGAAAAATTACCTGGTGAATTTTCCTTTGTATTCGATAACAGAAAATTTAATTATTAGCTTGTGAAATTAAAATATTAGTAATAAACGGCAAAAAGCTAAGTAGAATCTGGTTCATGAAAGTTTATAAACAAATTAAGGGACTTAGGAAAATGGGGTAGTGGGACATTTGCTACAAGATATTGGAAATAATTATATGCAGTAAATAAACAGCAGTTTCATGTGAACCAATATGTTTAATCTCTCCTAAATCAAACAGAAATTTGAAACTTTTATAATTTCAGAAACTGAGTACTACTGGGGACTAAAGATTCCAGGCAGAAAACCCCCCTAGAAAAGCTTGTCTTTTTTTCCCTTTGGTCAGTATTGGAACTTGGGAAATAACAGAAAATGCTCTGGCATTTGAAATACTTGAGGACAGGGATAGGGAATTAATTTTCCCAATGCCTTAAGGAGCCATATGAGTAACTGAGACTGTTGTGGAGGGCCACTGCCCCGTTCCTGCTACTGTTGCAGATGCTGCACCAGCATCACACTCTCTGCCGCTGCCCTGCCCTTGCCACTGTTCCACCTACCATCACCGCTATGGTCCAGACAAGGACCACTCTGCAGGCCATAAAATGCCTAGAACTGCTTCAGAAGATTCTTGAATAATGGGTTCAAAAAACAGCAGCTTCATTCTCAGGAATGATGCATGTTTTATGAATAGATTATATCCAGAAATATTAAAGAAATTATTAATGAGAAAGAGAACATCTTGGAAAACACACAAGATAAAGAGAGGAAAGATATTTTGCTTGATGCAGAAATATCAAAATGTAAAGAATTTGCAGAATATTGGGAAATTAGAAAATTATGGACTGTAAGACAGAGTCAATAACTAAAGTGGAAATATAAAGTACAAGTCAAGATGATTGACCTAGATAAACAGTTTCTAGTAGACTAACAAAAGCCTTGAAGAAATAGTTGGTATTGGAAAAGGAAAAACTGAAAATAGATCAAATCTTATGATAGAATTTGCCTGAACTCAAAATTAAGATTTTTAGAAGCAAAAGAAAGAAGTATAAATATTTTTTTCATCAAAGTTTAAATAAGACACGTTTGTATAAATATGGGATCCCTTTATGAACTTTTTCTTAACACTAGGATTGAAATGTTAATTAATGGATTTGAGTATGGATAAAGGATGAGTTATTAGAAGAAGAGATAGAAGTAGTCCTCAACTTACGACCACAATTAAGCCCAAAATTTCTGTTGCTAAGTGAGACATTTGTTAAGTGAATTTTGTCCCATTTTGTGACTTTTCTTGGCACAGTTGTTAAGTGAATCACTGCGGTTATTAAGTTAGTAACACGGTTGTTAAGTGAATCTGGCTTCCCCATTGACTTTGTTTGTCAGAAGGCCGCAAAAGGTGATTCCATGACTATGGGACACTGCGACCATCATAAATACATCCCAGTTGCCAAGCATCTCAATTTTGATCATGTGACCATGAGGATGCTGCAATGGTCGTGAGAAAAGAAAAAAAAGGTCATAAGTCACTTTTTTCAGTGCTGCTATAACTTCGAATGGCCACTAAAAGAACTGTTGTAAGTCAAGGACTACTTGTACTTACATGTAATATATCAGGGGATGATGAATTATTACGTTTATTTGTCCTTAAGATTGAAGACTGAAAGCTACTTCTTTATTTATTTTTCTTTCTCATATTCTTTTTCTTTATTTTTTGATACACTTTTAATTCTCTTCTTTCTTTACTTCTACTCTTTCTGTGTTTTATTTGTATTTTTTTACTACTGTTATTAAAACCTTCGATAAAAGTTATTAAAAACACGGAAATGTGATCTTCTTTCTTGAGAACTTAAGTAGAAAAATATAAAGAACTATTGGATTTAATATAAAGAAAGTAATCCAACTTTAAAGATAGTCTTTTCAAAACCCACTCAAATATAATTTGCAATTTTAAATGTGGTATGTTTCACTATCCCTTTTATTATCAGTTTGTTCTCAAACACCACAATAATGTCACAGAGATCCTTATGAAGTCATAAGCCGTCAACAGAGGTACTATAGTTCACTAATAATTACAGACCTCAGAAGAAACAATGAATCAAAGAGGCTCTGATTTGCTGACATTGCAAAAAAAAACAAAACATTAAACACAGCTTTACATGTCATACAGGGATATATCTGATTATAAAGTTTCGTTAATTTAACAGGAATGATCCAACTAAGTTATTATGTCACCTTCTTTCTCCACTCTTGTTTTTCTGAAAAAGAGTAATTGCTAAAAACAACTTTCATTTATTTTTTGCCAATGGGCAAAAAATAACAGGCTGCCACCTGTCATCTTTCAGGCACAAGTAACACTGTTATGTTCTTTAAAATGGAAGCATATTTGTTCTACCCAGAATATTTTGGCCGCCACTTCGTAAATATTAATGTTTCAAGAAATTATGATAAATAAAAATATACTAGGCTTTTATTTCCCTGGATGACCACCCTATTCACTTGTGCCTAAGGGCACAAGTTCAAACCTAGGACTTTATATGGAATGAATCATCACTTTATAACCCACATCTTACAATTCATCGAAAAATTTCAAATCGTGTTATTCTTGGGGACAGTACTCAGGTTGTCCATGCTAAGGAGAAAGCGTTATTTCTTTTGTTCTTACTATGATTACAGGTTTGGGATGATAATTACAAGACTAATACTTCCAATGTGTTCTGCACATCTTGATTGTGGTTAGCAGAGCAAGTCCTTTAGAAATGCTGGAAGAAGAAATGAGGGTAAAGCTCATGGTTACTGTGGCATCTCTGGTTAATGATATTCAACCTCCAGGAAATGTATTGAGACTGTTTATTGCCTTCCCTCCATGAATGATTAAACCCAAACTAAAGTTTTGTTCTAGTCATAGAGAAGAAATACAGATTTCTCCTTCAAACAGAATACAGAATTCCATAAAATATTCATCCACTGTTTGATCAATATATGTGGAAATAATAAACCACCTTTTTAAAATGCCGGGCACAAGAAATTTATTATGTTTACTCCTGTGATGGCATATTACCAACTATGCTTTCCAAAAACTATTCTTGACTTACTCCTGCTATATTTTCTCTATGCTTCATTTCATACATCTTCATGACTATTTGATTACAAAACAAGAATCTATTATGAATTTTTCCAAATTCATCAGACAAAAAAATCCCAAACCTGAATTTTCAGGATGTAGCAATTTTCATGAGGCAAGAAGGTAAAATACAAGTTAATGTTTAACTGACAGGTATTTCAATACACGTGTAGATTTGAGAAACCTAAATAAAAACCTAATAAAATTTCAGTTTATTAGACTTTTGTGATAAAATAGTAAAATTAACATTATTTTGCAAAATTTAATATTTCTATTTTTTTAAAAAAAAATAGAATTTAAAACATACAGTATATTTTTATCTGCAACAACACTGACTTAAAAGTCCCAGAGTCCCCGTTTAAAATCAATGCATAAAAAATAAGAATGCAGGATCTTGACTGAAGTCCTGCAAAACACAGAGATTCAATTTATTTTCCGGTACCACGAATCATACTTTCTAAGAATTCTTGAAAAGCAATCTCAATCCTTTCAAAGCAAATCAGATTAGGGAAACCTTGGTTTACAAAGCATTGTTACAGAAGAAGCTTGGGTAAATATATAATGGTCAAATCAGCTGAATCTAAAATTTTATTGAATTGACATTTGTATCCTATACTTCAACCAAGAATAAATCTACAAGGAAAAAAGGCAACGTATCAAATCTCCTAGTCTATTTTTGTTACACACTGACCATTTTTTCAGCTTTATTTAAAACCATGACCTTACTGATATGAATCCTTCCTGTTTCATACCTTACTAAATATGTTTGTCACATGCTTGATTCTATTTTGAATTAAAAGTTCACATCTATTTTAATTCTCTGTATACCAATGTACAGAAAGATGAAAATCTTGATGATTCCGTTGGTTTTTTTTTTTTGCTTTTGAAAAGTCTGAGATGGAAAAAATATAAATGGAGCACTCAATTTTTACATCTTAGGAGAAACACATGATATAAATTATAACATAGAACACTTTGCTGTACACTTTTAGTACAGTAGTAAAGAATAAATGTGCACTGTGAAAAAGAGTTTAGGCATTAGCCTAAAACATCTTACCTCGAACAACCTCTTCCACAGACTCAGTAGTGGTAGTGGTAGTAGCAATGCTGGTTGTTCTTTCAGTGGCTTCCTGGTACTGATCTTCTGTAACTTCTTCAGCCTCATCACCGTCTTCATCATCATCATCATCAGTATTTTCATCTTCTACATCTGTAGTATCCCCTTCTGCTAGCTGCTCTTCTGTTACTTTGTCATAACTGCAAACAACAGATTTGGTCAAATTTTTGATATTGCTAATCCCATCACATCATGGAACAAACATGGCCTTACTTAAATTGGTCATCAAAAGAAGGTCTGGATATTATGGATGTAGGTGTTTTCGAGAGAATAAAAGGAAATAGAATCTGTAGAATTTATATAGCACTAGAGAATCATACAATGTGACTAAACAATCAAGCCAGAGAAAACACTCCTACTCGTACCCATTATGGTTAGGTTAATAGGATGAGTAGAAAGAGCCTGATTAGCAATTCTCACTGAATCTACTGGGATGTACAGTACTTTCAAATAAACATGGTCTTAACTAGACTATGTCTGTTACTGTTACAGTATCACAATCTTTCTTCACTGCGGACTTTCACTGGGTGATACATATCCCCTATTAAGTTTCTAACTCCTCCCAATACCATCCCTATCTAAAGATGGTTCGAAGATCAATCTTACCTGCCATCTGCATAGTCTGCATCTGCACCTCCCCACCAAACGTCAGAATCATCTTCCTCGGCCTCAGCTGAATCAATATTGTCACTCTCATCTGCTACTAGGCAGCAAACAAACTCGACACCACGGAATTTGTCAATTCCACAGGGCAAGAGCATACCATAGTCGTGCAGATTCATTCCCTTTTCACTGCAGGACTAAAAAGAAAGCCAAAAAGAGACACAACATATATAGTCACCAAAAACTAGCTTTTAAAAACTGGTACAGACCGGGTTGGTGAGTCAATTGTCTTAGTGCTAATTCGAACTCTACATGGCACCGGTTCCCAACCCCCAGTCCGCGGGCCAGTAGCGGGCCATGGCCTGTTTGGAACTGGGACACAGAAGTGGTGGGCGAGTGCAAGTGTGTGAAGGCACATTTGTGAAAGTGGCGCATGCGTGAGTGCCACCATCCCCTCTCCCCCCCAGTCCACTGCTGCCTCCACCAATCTGCCAAGCCAGAAAAGTTGGAGACCGTTGCTATACAGCCAGAGTCCTTTGTAATAGTCTTCGCAACTTCAACATGAGAAAGAGTGAAATACACTGTTATATGTATACAATTTTGCTGTAGCATGATGAGTGAGTTTTATTCAGAAGTAATGTTAAGCAGACTTATTTTCTTCTCTTTTCTAAAGATTTGCATTTCCTCATGAGGAAATGTTCCCTACCTCAGCCTGGGAGAAACTAAGCTCATATTTGTAAGGATAAACCATGCTTTATTAGCACATGCAAAACACATGATGTCCTGTAGAGGCTGCTGTGGCATTAAACTTTCTGTATTACTTCATTTAGTATATTAATAAAAGATAATAGTGTGATTCTTTGTAAGAACAAAATGAACACAATATAGTGGTTTAATGTTTAAAACAATTCTTCGGGATAGAAACCCTAAGATATGAACCTATCAAGGCAGATTTGTCTAACAAAAGACAATATGCCACTTTCCTCTATGGGGTTGAAATTTAGGATTGCCTTAGCTGAGCTACAGTAAAATGTATGTTTATAAATCATGCTACATTTAGGAATACTATATAGCTATATATTATATATTATATTTCTAGTCTTTATGGTATGTAAATGTTCTAAATATATTCGACATTTTATCTTTTTCTTTTTCTTTCCTGTATTTCTGACTATTGAGAAAAATAATTAAAATCGATCCTCTGCCAATTATTTGGCAGAGCTATTTAACGATTGTCTCCTCAGGATACAGAACAAATGAAAGCAAGATTTTCCTCCTGGAGCATACAGGCAGTCCTCAAATTACAATTGGTACTTAATAACTGTTCAAAATTACAATAGGCATAGAATTTCTGCCCATAGTAAAATGTGTGCCATACACATATCTGTAGTCACATGACATTTTGGGTGCTTAGCAACTGGCTTGCCTTTACAACCAGTTGCAGCATCCTGTGATCTGAAACATTTTTTGCCTGTTTAGGAAATGGGTTCACACTTACAGTGTTTGCTTAGTGACCACAGATTTGCCTAATGACTGCAATGATCTGCTTAATGACCATCACAAGAACTGTCATAAAATTGGGTCCCAATTGCCAAATCCAGTCCCAATTGTGATCGTAACTGAAGACAACCTGTAATTCACTTTATATTTCTGGATCTGATTTATGTAGTTTCAGCATTTGCTCTATTAGGAACATCTTAAAATGGTCCCCAGAGCTTTTATCTCACATAAACATTTATAACTCAAATTTAATTCTTCATGATTATATTGTCCAATGGCAATCGAGAAAACATTACTCTGTTATAATTAGTTTCAGATTAAATTATTAGTTTGAAAATGAAAATAATTTACATTATGGAAAAATGTATATGTCAAAAATATATCATAGTCTGAAAAGAATCACAAACAAATTCAGAAAGCTTACTGAAAACCTGAAATCACTAGTTATGTAAATAGCAAAATAGCACTGATAGTATTACCTAGTTTGGGTAATGAAACATCTGAAAGAAAACAAGCAAGCTCAGAGAGCACCAAGGACCCTTCATTTCAACCCTAAGCTACAAATATTTTCCTTTAAATAGGAAAATATACAAAATCCTAAAAACAAAACTTAAGATAACCCAGAATATGAGGAAGTTGTGGTAGATATGTTTGCCACCTTGAATTAGTTGTAAAAATAATAAAGGTGGGATGTAGATAAATAAAAATAAAATATTAGCAAAGAGCTTAAAAGTTAAAAGGTGACCAGGTTGACCATCGTATATATTAGTAAAATCACAAATAATATAGAGGAAGCAAGAAAATTAAATAACTTGATGTCTTGAAAATTAAATAACTTGAAGAAATAGTAAAGAAAGCTTGTGTAAGCAGATGTACATTATGTTTTATATAATATATAATTTTTAGAACTCACTTCTAGTGGGTTCAATTATTACATTTTTTTTCTGTATGTTCACAGAAGACATGGAAAGTAGCTACAGCTCTGCATGACAGTCAGAACTACTGTTAATGGTATCTTTTGGCCATAAGCTTAAAGAACAAGGGAAGTCTACCTTGTGACTGTTAATGCAAACAGAAGGAATCATGAGTTCTAACTTTTATCTAACTTCATTAGATAAAATGAGATATCTAACATAAATTGGGTATAAATAAATAGAATCTAAAATATTTTGCATTTTTGTTTTCTGAACAATAAGTTTAGCATTACATATATAATTTTGCACTGTTGTTTACAGGTGTCATGGCCAGCTCCAAGACAAAGGATTCTAATACCAAGAAGACTACACTGGCTCTACCTGAATAACTTCAGCCTGAGTAAGCTTTGAGAACTCAATCGCCTGAGGCTCATCTACCCAGTCATCATCAGAAGCAACTGCACCTGAAGTCAGAGAATAAGAAACTGAAGACTTTGATTTGACCACCCTAAGAGTGCACTGTGTGCAACAGAGCAGAGCAATAGCATTCACTGCATCTCCTTGTATACCAGGGGCAATCCCAGTCTCGATTACATTTACTGACTTCATCTCTATTCAACAGCCACTGCTAGCCTAGTATTCCTAGTTGGAAATTAGAGTTATGTCAGTGATGTGCAAACTGTCACCCTAAACCTAGACTAGCTGATTCACCCATGATGCTTAGAGCTTTGGGCCAGATCCGAGTACATTTCTTTTTGCTGCTTTGGGTTTTGGCCATGAAAACTTCTTCCAGGCAAGCTTCCGGCAAATTTAGGGATGTTATAAACCATACATGTGTTTGTGTACATGCCCTGCCTGTTGCCATTTATAATAGTTCATCTAAACTAAAGTCTTGTACTCCAGGCATGCGTGTCTGGTCTGGGACAGGACAACAAGCATTTAAAAAACATTAGACTACATTATTTTTTAAAACCTGTGCTTTACGTAGTTGCAGAATAAGAAAATACACATTTATGAATCAAACTGAAAACAAAAAAGAGCTGCTGGAATGAAGCTAATGTTTCTGTTTTAATAAAATGGCTATAAATTGTTCTAAACGCAGCACTGAAAATGTTGCTGAAATTTTTCTGGCTCAATGTTCTATTTATTTTTAAACATCACAAAAGAAATGTTTAGTTTAAAGAGAGCTAGGAACTTCAACATACCTCCTTAGCAACTGTGTGCCAATGCAGGTGAGTTTCACAAATATCCATCCTTTCCTGGTGAAGGAACTTGCACTTATCTGGCACTAAAAGGGCATCACTCACAAATTCTCCAACTGAAAGAAAAAATATTTGAACATTCCCATTTTATTATAAGCTTGAATAAATGGTTTATAAGCAAACACATTTGGAAATCCTTAGGGAATAATATTATTTTTAACGAATTAAACAGCTACCTCACATATGAATACCTGATATTGAAAACTAGACTTTATTAACTCAAATTGGTCATGCTACTTCAACAACAGCATCAGACAAAACCTGTTCATTTACAAACTTTTCAAGTCAAACTATTGGAAATACAAGGTTCCAGTCAGGTTTCAGGTCTGGGCACAGCACGGAAACGGCATTGGTCGCGTTGGTTGATGATCTCTGGAGGGCTCGGGACAGGGGTTGCTCCTCTGTTCTGGTCCTGTTAGATCTCTCAGCGGCTTTTGATACCATCGACCATGGTATCATGCTGCACCGGCTGGAAGAGTTGGGGGTGGGAGGCACCGTGTTGCGGTGGTTCTCCTCCTTTCTCTCCGACCGGTCGCAGTTTGTGTTGGCAGGGGGGCAGAGGTCGACCTCGAGGCCTCTCATCTGTGGAGTGCCGCAGGGATCGGTCCTCTTGCCCCTTCTGTTCAACATTTATGTAAAGCTGCTGGGCGAGATCATCCGTGGCTTCGGGGTAAGATACCACCAGTACGCTGATGACACCCAGCTGTACATCTCCACCCCAGGCCACCCCAATGATGTCCTTGAAGTGATGTCCCAGTGCCTGGAGGCTGTGCGGATCTGGATGGGGAGGAACAGGCTCAAGCTCAACCCTTCCAAGACTGAGTGGCTGTGGCTCCTGGCATCCCGATATAGTCAGTTGACTCCATCACTGACTATTGGGGGTGAGTCTTTGGCCCCCACAGAAAGGGCTCGCAATCTGGGAGTCCTCCTGGATATGCAGCTGTCCTTGGAGGAACATCTGACAGCTGTAACCAGGGGGACCTTTTGTCAGGTTCGTCTGATTCGCCAGTTGCGGCCCTTTCTTGATCGGGATTCCCTGTGCACAGTCACTCATGCCCTCGACACCTCTCGCCTTGACTACTGCAACGCTCTCTACATGAGGCTCCCCTTGAAAAGCACCCGGAGGCTCCAACTGGTCCAGAATGCAGTAGCGTGGGTAGTGACGGGAGCAGCATGGCGCTCCCATGTAACACCGCTCCTGCGCGAGCTGCACTGGCTCCCAGTGGTCTTCCGGGTGCGCTTCAAGGTGCTGGTTATCACCTTTAAAGCGCTCCATGGCATCGGGCCTAGCTATCTTCGAGACCGCCTGCTGCTACCGACGACCTCCCATTGTCCCGTGCGCTCCCACAGAGAGGGCCTCCTCAGGGTGCCATCAGCCAATCAATGTAGGCTGGTGACCCCCAGGGGGAGGGCCTTCTCTGTGGGGGCACCTACCCTCTGGAATCACTTGCCCCCAGAGATAAGGAGAATCCAAGACCTTAGTGCCTTCCGTCGTGCCCTTAAAACCCACTTTTTCCAGCAAGCCGGGCTGGCTTAAGAAGAAATTTTAAATGTTTTAATTGGTTTGTATTTTTAATTTTGGGCCAAATTTATATATATTTTAATTGTTTTTTAATATTTGTATTTTATGTTTTTTAATTCTGGCGGTACACCGCCCTGAGTCCTCAGGGAGAAGGGCGATATATAAATTTAAAATAAATAAATAAATATCTAATGACATTTTCTAAAATTTATTCAGTCCACTTATTTCTTCCTGCGAGGACATATGTAGCTGTATACAGATTGTAAATAAGCAACCAGGGATTTTGAAAATCTAGATACGTAACTCAAGAATCTGTGAAGGACACATTTTCTCAAACATCTTTTATTTCATGAAAGAGACGTTGGAAGGGGAAATATATAAATGACTAGGTTTGTAATGCTGGTAATAAAAGATACTTTGTTCAAAAGTCTTGAGTTACTTAAAGAATTGAGTACTGGATTGATAAAAATGCTATTGGCTAAAACATACCCAATTTGATCAGGAAGACTTAGCAGATTCTTCTGGGGAACTGAAGATGAAAATTTTAAAGGACGTCAGATCAAGTTTTGTGGGTTTAAAAGAAAAGAAAAGAAAGGAATATTCTGTATTGAACTGCTCAAAGATCTGAATATTTGCTGATAAAGTTCATAACATTCATTGTCTATAAAGTTTATAACAGAAAAACTGAATTTGAATGTTTATTACAATGAATAAAATATGACTTCATGGATATATTGGTAGGATGACTTCCATAATTAGAATATAGCAACTAAAAGATACTATTCGTTCAACAGAAAGGTATTGCAATTCACATTTGCACAGAAATCTATGTGAATGAACTTTGTGATACTGGATTAAAATAAGAAATCCAATTTTAAAACCTGTTGATGCATACTATCAACAGGGAAAAGATGTAGGTGACCACTTTCAAAAACAAACTGCAGGTTTTTCAATGAAACAATACTGGTGACTGTATATCCCAACATTTGTTGCAAAACTCATTCACTCAAGCTGGGAAATTTCTAGTTTGTGCTATCAACAACTTTATTATTTAGAAAGTGAGGGAAGGCACAAGAGAATTAGTCATTCCTGCCAGGATGGTCACCAAAAAGAAAGCTGATGCAGAGCCACTAGCAAGAACAGTGAGGAAAAGTGGCCATGTACTAGAATTTTAATTATTTGTTTTAAAGAAAACTAATACTAGTATAACTTGGACTTCAAAAGCTTCAACTTTCACAATAGCAGGGAGATAATGAGAAGAAATCCTTAAAAAAGATACTAAAAGCACAATTGCAACCAACTTTGATAAAGAAAAAAAAGTAAAAAAAAATGTTCCATGTGGATATTTAGCAAAAATCTAAAAAACAAACAAACACCCACAGGTTGTCTAGGAAGTGTGTAGACAATTAAGTTTAGAAATAGGTTCTATCAAAAAAGCTAAAGTTCAGAATGAAATGAAATTGGCAAGGGGAACAGTAATAACATTTTTTTTATATAAAGTAAGCCAATGGAGAAAGTGACAGCTAAGGGAAGGCAGAGAAATGATAGGAATAGGGACTATGGTGGGATATGCTATGGTAGAAGCATATCAAGGAAATATCAAGTTCAAGGAAAGCAGGGAAGGTGCTAGAGGATGGGCAAGGCAGAGAGACATGCCACATTGGATCACAAAGGGAGGATGGGGGGGCATTGAAAAGAATGGGAGAAGACAGGTTGCTAAGTAAGAGGAGAGAGAGACAGCTGTATTCAGTAGCCTTATATAAGCCCCATCAAATCTGAGACCTAGACAGTTTTGTTTTCACCAGAGCCTAGAACAAACAAAGTTCCAGATTTTGTATTTGCCAAATCACTGTTATTCAGAAAGTTTCAGCAGAACTTCCCGTATGTGATCTGTTTGAAACAAAAAAATGATTTTCCATTTCATGTCATTTCAGGGTACAAGATATGGAACAATGGAAGTTACAATAAAATTACAGTTGACTAGTAAAGTGGAACTAAATAGCCATCTTTTTTGGATGATTTATTTTGGAGTCCTCAATTCAGCAGTGGAATAGACTTGGTAACTGAAGTACTTAGTATTTTCTGGAAGATTAAATTTTCCGGTAAATATGACAGTTGCAATGAAGAACGTTTAACTGAAGCCATAGTAAAACAAATTTGAAAAACTTGAGTATACAGGAGGCAAAGAAATAAGAAACCAAGTAAATCCTCATGACATTCCAGATGAAACCTTGATAATCTGTTTTCTTCCTGATGCCAATACAAGTATCTTATATAAGACTTGAGACATAATTTCCAAACAAATAAATACTGGGTTGGAATTGGATCCCATTTTTTGTTTCAGAAACACAAGGTCTTCAATTAATTTAAGGAGACAGCAGATCTTTCCATTAGTAAGCTTCCTTCTATCAAAGGAATGAAGGTTGGAAAAAAAATAAACAAATCTCTAAAGTAGACTAAGAACCCTTTCTTTTGTGATATACATAGTGCAGTGATGGCGAACCTTTTTCTCATTGCGTGCTGGAAGTGTGTGTGCGCGCGCACAACAGCGCGCATGTGTGTCAGCACCCATTATGCAATGCGAACCCCTCCACATGTGCATGTGCACACAACCCCATGCTCCCCCACGCATGCACTCTGCATTGCGCATGCACGTCCCCGCACATGCGCTTCGCCCCCTCCTATGCCCCGTTTTGGGCCTGGAAAGTCATTATTCTGAAGCAGGGCTGTTTGGCCCAACCGATTCTTACTGTGTCTGTATGCGGTGGGCTTTCTGGTGAGCTGGCGAGGCTGCGCAGTTACCACACCGGCTTGTAAATCTCAGGCTGAGCCTCTGGGCCTTCAGGTCTGGAGCCGGCAGCAGCTTCTTCCTTTCACTCAGACCTTGCCTTGGGGTGACTTTTTCCACATTCAGCCCTGAAGGGTAGCAGAGTCTTCCACTCTGCATGTGCTCAGAGGAAGTCTGCAGTCCTCTGAATCCAGGTCTTGGCATTGGAAGAAAAGCAAATTTCCAAAAGGAGCAGATTGATTGGGGGCTAGGGGGGCGGCGGCTGCAAGGATGGGCGAGCCGGGGCTTCCCTTTCTCCCCACCCGAGGGGGCTTATGGCATAGCCCCAGGCCTCTGGGGGGAGGGCAGCCTGCTGCTCCTGAGCAGATGGGCAACCGGGAGACCGAGGGGTAGAGAAGCGAAAGGCAGCCGTGGGCCACCTTCACTGTGTAGGCAGATGACAGGGATGTGGGGTGGGCAAGGAAGGCAGTGAAGTTGCAACAACATCAACAAGTAAAGTGAGAGTTTTCTTTCGGCCGGTGCCATCTTGGGTTATGCGGGTTGGGAAGCTTTCTTGGCCACCTTGTGCTCTTTTGGAGGCTGGATATCATTAAAAATATTGTTTGTCTTGAATGCCTCTTCAAGGAATTTTGCAAGAATGAGGACAATGCATTCAAGGTGTTCACTCAGGTTTTCAAAATGCAGGAAGTCCTGCTCCTGGTGCTGCCAGGGAAGCAGCAGCATGAGAACCGCTGTTGCCGGGGGCAAGGGGATGGCGGCGCCAGGAGCAGCAGGCCGGGGCCTCAATCCCTCTCCTCGGAGGCCTGAGGCTGTGCCAGAAGCCCGCTCAGGTGGGGAGACAAAGAAGCCCCAGACCGCCCATCCTTGCCACCACCCCCTCGCCCCCGGCGGTGGTTATTGCGCTGCCACTTCCCTGGCAGTAGCAGGAGCAGCTGGCAGGGGAGAGAGGGTGGTGGCAGCATGTCGTTCACGCTGGCTAAGAGGCAGGGGCGGTTCCTCCTCCTGCCAGCCTCATGGTCCGGGCAGCATCCAGCCAGCCATACCTGGCATCCCCCTGTGGCAGCTCACGTGGATCCCAGGCAGCGCAAGTTCTGGACCTTTCCTCGCAGAGGTTGTGGCGGTGACGAGGCAGGCAGGCAGGCAGCCGGGCACAGGGGAGTGACTGGCGGCAGTGCTTCTGGCTGGCAAAGTGTGGATGTGGCTTCATGCGGGCAATAATGGCATGGCCAGTGCGCATGCGCACTACAACGTTAAGGCCAGCTGATCGTCGCATGCGCACCAGTAACCAGCAGACTAGCTGGCTGGTGCGCATGCGTGCCCTGGAAACCTGGAAGAGGAATGGCCGACGCCACGGGTGCCAGGTGACATGGCTCTGCATGCCACTTCTGGCACATGTGCCATAGCTTCACCATTACGGACATAGTGTAATACTTCAAGCAGGGAAAGCTTAGGGTTCTCAGCTCTGTATTGTGTAAAAAGATGGTTCAAAAAGATTTACTTTCTGAATTAGAATAAAATAGCAATGTAAATGTATCACATGGGAATATTTGTTTCCGCTTATGATTGCAGAGCTTATTTATTGATAAATAAATAAAATGATTTATTACCTGCAGCTGTTATCATTCTTTGGTAAGTTTGGCACTTACAATTCATCTTAATTAAGAAATGATGAATAATGAAAAATGTATGTAAAGTAATATGAAGAAATAAAATAATTCTCTATTATACACAGGCCGTAGCAACATGATGTAATTCAAGTTCATACTTGTAAAATTGTTCATACAATTGTAAAAATTGTGAAAGTCAGTAATACAGTAGGCTTTCTTATTTTAATTCTATTGCCTTCCACTTAATCAGGCTTAAGTTTGACAAATAAGCCCAGCATTATTCAACTATATCATAGCCTCTTTTCTTTTAGAGGAAGAGGCAGAACTTCCTGAGCTGGAAGTGCACAAGAAGCAAAAAACAAGTGCTAAAACTGGAAAAGTGGGAAAGCAAAGAGTTATATCCTAAAGAAAAGAGCAGCAAAAGTCATAACTCCCAAAGGATGGACAATAGGCACTAAGGATTCGAACCAGAACTTGATATAAAGAAATATGTATATACCCATATATGGATTCCTATATTTTGTAACACCTTACAGTCGGGGTGGGCTGCTGGGGGTTTGCAGGGGCTTGGGAGAACTTCTAGCTAAGATTCTGTGCAGTTCCAAGACCCCCCAAATCCCACTCTTGGCTGGCCCCACCCAGCCTGCATATCTGGGGCACGCCAGCTCAGCTCTGGTGTGCATGCACACTCCAGCCAGCTGATTTTCGGGCCTTCTGGGCCCACCAAGAGTAGGGAAACAGGCTGTTTCCTGCCTCTGGAGGGCCCGGGGGGGGCATTTTTCTTTCTTACCTGGCTCCAGATCCTCTCTATGCATCTGCGGAGGGCGAAAACAGCCTTTCCCACTCTCTCGGAGGCCCTCCAAAGGCCTGAAACGACCCATTTCCCAACTCCTGATGGGACAGGAAGTGATGTTTTTTGCTGTCCCAAGCCTCCAGAGACTTCTAGAGAGGCTCTGGAAGCTGGGGACAGCAAAAAACGTCACTTCCTGTCCCACTGGGAGTGGGAAATGGGCCCTTTCAGGCCTCTGAGGGAGTGGGAAAGGCTCTTTTCACCCTTCCCAGATATATAGAGAGGATCTGGAGCCAGGTAAGAAAGAAAAATGGGCCTAACGGGCCATCACATGCCAGGAGCAGGGGGGGAGGGAGGCTGCACACGCATGTGCAGGGCAGGGCGCATAGAATTATGGGCACTCACATGCGTGAACCTCCCCCGCCCCCCCTCTCCTGGCATGCGATGGAAAAAAGATTAGCCATCACGGGTCTAGACTTACAAAAATAAATCAAAGAAAAGTTGAGAAGCTTTCAAAGGTATTTTCAGCAATTAATTCTGTGTGCTTCATAAACAAATTAGGGCTAATACTATAGTTAACATCAATATTACACTATTTAAGAAGCTGGTTTAGATAATTCAATATCCTGGTTTATTTCAAATAATCATAACTAAAATTAACTATTCTTTGTCCAGATATAGCAAGACAGTATTAATTTTTTTTAAAAAAAGCAATTTTCCCCACTATTATTTTTATGGCCACAGTGGAGAAAGAAGGAACATGCACTATTTTAGGAATAAGTTTTAAATACATTTTACATCTGGGACCAAAGTAAATAAGAGATTTGAGAAAATATCTATAACATGACAATAACTTAGTTGTTTCTGTCATTCTATACGCAACTTATAAATGTATAAAACACAAGAACTAGGATGTATTTTATTACTACTGTAATGCATAGACGTATCATATATTTATTTTTTTCCTATTTAGACTTTAAAAAACTATTGCTTAATTTCCTTAAAGAAGGGGTGTCAAACTCGATTTCATTGAGGGCCGCATCAGAGTTGTGTTTGACCTCGGGGGCCAGGTGGGCAGGACCAGCTTGACGTCACTCGTGTCAGGGGCCCTTGTGGTGGCCCAAGCGCTCGCGGCCCTCCCGAGCTCCATTTTTGCTGCCAGAGAGTTGCAGGAGGCCGTCGCAGATGAAAACAGAGGTCAGGAGGGCTGTGCGCGGCCCTCTTGAGCTCCGTTTCGCTGGCAGAGGCATAGCGGGCCAGTCCTTTGCTATTTCCAAGGCAGCCCCATAGGCCAGATCTAAATATCCTGTGGGTCAGATTCGGCCCGAACCTTGAGTTTGACACTCCTGCCTTAAAGTGTCATAATGTCATAGTTATAGGAAAAGAATATGATATTATTACACAGACATTTTCTTAGAATAAAATTAATTTTAAGTTGAAGTATACATATTTGTGTGTGTGTGTATACATAAATACACATAAATATACATAAATTTGTATAGTTACATTCACAGACCATCCTGACAAAATTTATAAGTATACTTACCTAAGCACCTATATGGAACAACAATATATGGATGACTCCTACACTGCTTCCTTCCCTGCTTGCACCAGTTTTGGATTGTTACTGGTTGATTAGCTTCAACAACATTTGTGATTTGCAGTTCAGGATAAACCTATTATTGAAAACATAAAATAGTGAAATATAGATAAAATATTACTGTAAATGCATATGATATTCATGACATTATGATTGGAGAGATGCATAAAGTATATATAATAAGCAGAAACCTATATGAAATTTTGATTGTGCAGGCCAATTTTATATACAAACGTTAGAAATCAGGCTTGCAATTAAGGAAATTATCATTAGGTGTTCTGCCATTGATCATATATTAAAAGTGACTAGAAGAGAGAATAATTATAAAATATATACTTGGAAATTGCAAATGGCATCTCTTTCTGAAGTATACAAAAAGTGTTTTCATCTATCCTGAAATGAAACTGTTCAGGACCTTTCAATTTAATACCAGCTACTGGAGTTATGATTTAAAAACTGTAGAATAATTTATGCACATTTTCAAGCTTTTATAAATTTGTGTCAAGAATTGGGATGCTAGATCTTCAAGGATCTAAATCTTCAAGAATTGGGATGCTAGATCTTCAAGGATCTAAATCTTCAAGAATTGGGATGCTAGATCTTCAAGCACTGTTATTAACATCAGCTGCCTGCAATTACTGCAAGTTCAAATCTCACCAGGCTCAAGGTTGACTCAGCCTTCCATCCTTTCTAAGGTAGGTAAAATGAAGACCCGGATTGTGGGGGCAATAAGCTGACTTTGTATAAATATACAAAAGTATGAAGGCTATTGCTTAACGCATTGTAAACCGCCCTGAGTCTCCAGAGAAGGGCGGCATATAAATTAAAAAAAAAAGAGGGGGGGAATGAAGTTTTGAGAACAGTAGATTAGAATCAGATATTCTGTTTTCCTTATACAGTATAGTGTATTTTTTCTCTTAAAATCTTTCATTTTTAAACAAAATCTGTGAAAACGTATTTTAGTTAAATCTATTCCTCAAATAGTAAAGGTTAATTTGTATTAAAACACAATGATCTCTTAGGCTGGCAAAAGTTTATAAGCATTTATTTATTCAACTGACTTCGTTGTTGGGTATATAATATGATAAAACCTGGATTTGTAAAATTCTCCTTAAATTCATATTATGATATAGAAAATTAAATCGCATCTATTGTGGAATATTGCTCTTCCAATCTTGTTTCTGATGTTTAAATTAGTCTTCTGGTGTCAGTTAGTCTTCCTGTGTAATCTTATCATTTACATGGTTTCTACAATACATCTTAGTGTTGTACATTAGATTATTATTAATTCATTTTTTAATTTAACTTGATGAATAGACAGAAAGCAAGTGACTGCCATTTCATAGTGTTTGCATTGTACCCGCTAAGAATTTTAAGTGATTTGTGGGTAGGGGAAAATAGGGAAAATAGAGAGAGAAAATATCATCAATGAGATTGATTTTTGGGCTACATGCTCAAGAGTAAAAGTTTTCAAACATTATAATCCAAATTTTAGTACAGAACACATCAGGTAAATGACTTCAACTGTGGCAAATAATTCTCAGCCCAGAGCCATAAATTACAGCTTTGATAAGTAATGAAAAGCATTCGATGGAAAAAGCAAAAATAAAATTGTTGGCAGACATCCACATGGCAGGTACCACCCTTTCCCAACATGCTCTCCATATTAATTTGACCAAAGCTGCCATTATCCCTGGATATCATGATCAATAGTTACTACAATGTGTGAAAATACAGAGTAGAGTCCAACACTTTAAAGGAACCAGTTTGGAGAAATCTGTTCTATAAAATATAGCAAAGGCTTTTATAATTCACTACAGGAGAAATCATTTTGCTAGGTTCCCTGAAGCAATTGTTAAAATCTACTCTAAAATCAGAACTGCCTCAAGAGCAAAATGATCCACAGTGACAGTGTGATCTTTAATAGTTGTGGCATATTTTAAATAAATAAAAACCAAATTTAGGCAAATGTCTCGCCCTCCCCCAACTTTTAGTAGCTTTGCATTTTTCCACCAAGAGGCAAGGCAGCATCTGGAATATTGCCAATCTGAAAACAAATCCCTACAGGCTGTTCATCCAGCATTCACTTTTCATATTAGCATGAATCAGGAACCTGCATGATGCAAGGTAACTGAAACACACGATCACATAGTGGCAGCTTTCTTTGAATGCTATTCAATTAATAATTAAATCAATAAAGAGAGGCTGTTAAGAGTACTGAAATATATACTGTACAATGAAACAAACACAAAACTACTTCATCACACATCTACTCCTGCTGTGCAAGTAAAACTTTATACACTACTTTCATTCAAATGGAATGGAATGAAGGCAGGAGTAAAATAAACAAAGTTATTGGGTCTCATCAACCACCTTACTATTGATCTATTTACCTATTTATAGAACTTATTATTTATTTATAAATAATTGGCTAGGAATGTAGGCAATGTAATAAAAAATTAATGACCTGTCGTAACAACAGCATACAGTATAATTAATTATACAGCACATTCAATGCTGCTTTTAATGAACTTGTTCATCTTGTTTATTTGCAGTAGGTGTTTAACTACATACCAACTCCTCTTTCTCCTTATAATGTAATTATTTTAAAAGTAATTATATTAAAATATATTAAACATGTTAGCATGTGTTGCTTCAGTTACGTGACACAATAGTCCATGTAGTTTTGCTAGAGATTCAGTCACCCATGTATTCACCATAGAAATTCAAATAAATTGAGTTGAGTTTCCTCATTACTTGAGGAAATCTTGCTAAGTCACAGTATGATTTATAAGGGTTTTGATTACAGAACCGAAATGGCTTATAAATAGTGACTGACTGATTATATGCCCTCAGTCAGTGTTGATTCTTAATTATCATGGCCGTTCCCCAATCCAGCTCTTCAATTCATCCAAAGGTGACCCCACTGCCACTTAATTAAATCCATCCGCTTTGCTGCTGGTGATTCTCTTCATCTCCTTCCTTCCACTTTCCCCAAATTTACAAACCTTTCAAAAGATCTACGATTTTATTTGTTTTCTTGGTAAGCTTTGGCATTCTCAGAGTCTTGTCTAACACCAAAGGTCAAAAGCATCAATGCTCTTCCTATCCTACTTCTTCAAAGTCCAGGTTTTGCTTTCATTGCTTGCCAAACCATCCCCTGAATAATATCAGTGCAAAAACATTTCATGACATTTCTTTTCTGAAGTCCTCATTGATGCCTACCACATGCTAGTCTGCAAGGTATTTCTTGACTGGTGATTCACTTGAATTTGATACGTCAATCCTAAAAGGCAGAAACTATCCACTATTTCAGCATTTTCACTGTCAGTTCTATGGATGCTGATGTACCTATTCATTAATTTGGTCTTATTAATATTAGTCTCCTTTGACTCTCATTAGAGCTTCCAGTTCATTTGTGTTTTCAGTTATCAGAACAATGTCATCAGCATAATGCAAGTTATATATATATATATATATATATATATATATATATATGAATAAATAAGGAGAGAATACATAGCCTTGTATCATTCCTTGTAGACGTATCCTGACAAAAGTGAACTGTTCTGGGATTCCTATTTTGTTAAGAGTATTATATAACTTGATATGGTCAAAACAAGTAAAGGGCTTTCTATAATCAATTACGAACATAACTACTGTTTGCTATTCTTTGACTTTCTCAATTTTACAGCATGAACCAGCATGCTACATCTTTTCTAAAACCAGCTTTAACATCTGGCATATCCTTATCCATACAGAGCTCTAATCTGCATTAAAATGTTATTTTGCTGACATGTGCATTTATGAATATTGTACAACAACTTGCACACACTGTAATGTTAGGGTCATGCAAAGCTTTGCCTTGTTAGGGTACTTCACACAAGACTGATGAAAATCAATGAAGTGTCTGATTTGATGCAGCATAGCAGCTCAGATGCAAATCCCTAAGTGAAGTGCCATGTCAAAGAAGTACGTCATCAAAGCATACTAACACAACATATTCCTATGAAGCATTGAAAGTGCTTCCAAAGTCCATTATGTGAACTCAGTCAATTATGGCTTGTTAAATAAGCTATAAACCATATCTTAGCATGGTGCCTGGGGATGTTTGGTGGCTAGAGGATACTTCATCCATCTTTTTAATTGTTTTTATTTTTATTTTTACTTTGTCTTTTCATATTTGTCTCTTTTTATATGGATTTTATAGTTTTTATTTGTAAACCACCTACAATCACTGTAATAGTGAGATGATTGGTATATAAATTTTATTAATTAATAAAATATAAGAGCTAAGTCAATTTTCTAGTAACTTCTTTATGTATACATAAATAATTTTATGCCACTTCAATCACTTTACTCTAACAGCCTTATAAGCAGAAAGATTATCAATACAAATATTTTAAATACATATTTTTAAAATCAATAATTTTAATTTAATATACTTTTGAATATAATTTAAATATAATTTTCAAACTTACATATATTATCATCATTTATAGTGGTTTACAAAAATGTAATGCAGAATTTTCTCATAACATGTTATACACATCAATCGCAATTCAAAGTAATAGTGCCAAATGATGATCTCATCAGCTCCATTCAATTATAACTTTTTTAGTCTGCCTCCTCCCCTCTAACTGTATATTCTTCCTTTCCATAATTTTAATTATTCTTGTTCATTTTCTGTTTGTGTAAATCCACACCAACACACTAATGGTTTCATAGTGACCACTCACTTTTGTATTTAATTCATATTCGTTCACTATCCATTCAGTATCCATTTACTATATGGATAATGAATCCATATTCATTCAGATGTTTCACTCACACTTAAATAATCAATTCTTATTATATTTGTCTTATTATATTTGCTTATACACAACCATTTTGATTTCTTTTAGTGCAACTGCAAATAATACTTATTATTTTTCCTTAGCATTTGCACATCTTAAAATACTATCTATTTAGCCAAATGTTTAATCAACATTTTTCAAAATACAAAAATTAATCTACCAGCTCTAATTTTTAATGTATAATTTGATCTCATTCAATTTTTTCCTTCATATCTATCAA